CATGGAATATCCAGTTTGGGGAAACAAAGCTATCACATAGAGGATTGAAATTCAAGGCATCACAGAAAGGCTTTCAAATGCTCACAATCTTGCCAGAAACCTAAAAGCATAAAGCCATCAGGTGCTGATTTACCACCTCAAATGGTATTAGATTCCTTTGGTTAAAAACTGCCCTGTGAATTATTGTCTTTTTTAGTAGAGGCTTGGCTTTGCTGCCCTGTCTCTGTAGTCACTGGTGACCTTAAGGTGCTGCTGAGAAGGAAGTGGGTTTTAGCCCACATGTCCTGTTTTGTCTTTGTACTCTACTCATTGCCTGAGTTCCTGAGTACTTCCAGAAGCACATTAAGCAGACTAACATCTGTACAATAACTAACATCTGGTGAGCCTTTTTTTGTCTCCTCCCCAGGGGAGATGTGTGGCAGAGTAGCTTGTTTTATTTTAAATGGACTTTGAAAATAGCAAAAAAGCACTTTGCAAAAACCACCTTGAGATAAGTAATCTTTGAGAGGTTAACAAAAGCACATGGTACATGTGCACTTATAAGATAAAGATACAGAAAGGTGCTGTGTAGTTCAAACAGAGGGCACCAAGGTGGAGTTTGGCCAGTCCTCCCAGTGTGAGTTTGTTCAGTAAACCAGTCTGGGGAGGGTGCCTCACCCTGAGCTGGTCAGCTGCACTTCTCTGTAGAAAGTTTCTCAGAGCTCAAGGATTAAAGCTGCTGACTTGAGCCTTCAGTCAGGTGCTCTCATCCTCATGGGCTCAATGCCTTGTGCTGCCCACTGTTTGTCCTCAGCTCAGGGAGTGCAGTTCCCAGCAGCCCTGCCTTGGGTAGCACCCACAGTCTTCCATCAGAGCTGCCTTGCCTCACAAGCCATCTGCTGTAGGTTTGCTTTTATTTTCCCCAAATGCTTTGTGAGTCTTTGCACTCAAAGGTGTGCAGGAAAATACGAGGCATTAATTGAGCAGTGTTCACAAAGGTTTTTGTATGTGGGACTGAAATTTAAGTGTTCACTCTCCCATCCTGACTGCCTCAGCTGACAAGAATTTCTCTTAAAAACTTATTCATAACTTATGAGTTTCAGTGCTGCTTTTTCTAGTTTTATCCTTCCTCTTATTAGTATCAGAATGACTGTTCTTGTGTCAGTAGATGATAGTTTCATCTGTAAAACATTTCTGTTGCATCACTGATGATGATTGTGGTGTTATTTTTTATCAAACGTGCCACATAATCCTGTTTACAGAAGCTTAGAATTTTAGGCTGAGTAACTGGTTTGCATTAATTCTAGAATTGTTTAGTTTTAGAAGTGAACTGAGCCATCATCTCTTCAAACCTCCCACACAAAGCAGGGCCAATTTAAAAATTGTTTAGGATTGCTCAAGACCTTGTACTTACTGCTGACATCCTGGACATGGTTGTAATTATGAAAATTTTAATTGGAAAAATCACATATCTGCTGGAATACCATAGCCATTGTTTTAACCAGCAGTTAAGGTATTTTAAGTGTGTTCTGAACAGGTATTTTTTTCCTTTTTGCTGTTGTGGTCTGGTTGTAAAAGTAATTGCTTTTATCTTACTTCATTTGTGTTAGAGTGCAGAAAAAACCTTTCTGGTTCAACTTTTTAATGACATCTGCTTAAGGAAAAAAAGCTATAAAAATACCTGGTTAATTTGAGTACTACAGTAGGCATCACACAGTTGCTGGGGTTTATTACCTGTTTGCATGCCTGTTCCATAAAGAATGGTGAGATACAGCAATTGTTTGAGACCCAGCAGCTCCTGTGCACAGCCCTGCACACTCCTGCTGCACACTTGGGCTACACAACAGCTCCATCTGCTGTTCCTCAACTGCAGCTTTCCTGTGTGTCCAAACCTTCCACCTGTGTATCAATGTAAATTATTCAATTTTACATTGATTATTGGGCTTCTTCCCTCTGACTGGAAAAATTTTAACATAGTTTTTACTCTTGTGAGAAGATAGTCCTTGGGATACCACTACACTGTGTTTTGATGTTCTGGATTTAGAATTTCTTTAAATTTCTGGGCAATAACCAGCATTTGTGACACTTTTGTTTCTGACTGCCTTATAAACATTAGGTTTTGTTATGGTTTGGACTTTTTTTAAACTTATGTTGTATGTCTTACCCTTGCAAAGACAAGCTAGTACAAGGTATGAAGCCCCATCATCTAGCATTGAAAGAGTTTCTGCTCTTCAGCAAAGTAATGGCTACTTGTGATTTTTTTTTTTCTTCTGGAGAAGTCTGGATTTGTGTGTGTTCTCCCTGGGATCATAGATGTGTCCACAGTTGGATGTGCTGTGAGTGTGATGAACAGAGGCAATCTAGCTGTTGTGGGAGAATCAAATTTCTACAGACTGGGGGAGGAATAGCAAAGAATAACAGGGCTGATGGCAGTGAGGGAGTGTACAGCGTGTCAGAGTCAAGACAGAGGATCGTGACTCTCTGCTCAGTGTGGTTACTAAAACCACCAAAAGAGAACTTAAATTCCTTTGTTTTTCTCCCTCTTGGTTTTGGAAGACAGACTCACTAGAGCATTGTGATTTTGTGGTTTGTTTTGGGGAAGTAGATTTGCAGATCACATCAGAGGAAAACTCCAGTAAATCACATCTCTAAAGAAAACTAGCCATAATTTGGGAAAAGATGTGCATATCTCTTAATTTTCTAGCTCTTTGAAATAGGAACAGTAAGATGGGCTTTAGAGTCTGTTCTGCATAATACCCCATTGGATAAGCTCAGCCTGGTATCAAAAATTTTCTCTGTTTTTTTTTTTTTTTTTTTGCTTGGGTTTTTTTTTGGTGTTTGCTTTGGTTTTCCTGCTGCGCTCTTTTTTGTCTGTTGCATGTTAGGTTGCCTGCACTGGTATATATTTTTGTAGTTAGGAAAGTTGAATACTTTTTGGGGAGTAGTCCTTTAGCTGGCACTCTGGCTTCAGGCAGGAAGGATGCAGAATCAAGTTCTAGATCTAAATATTTAATTTTAGATGATTCCATAAAAGGCAAGCAGGACACATGGGCCTGTTTTTCCTATCTCTGGCAAGCAGCCTAACAAGAAATTTTAAATAGAAAAATAATTTCTCCCATTTACAAACAAACATGGGACAAAAGATGTGTTAGTTGTACTTTGTAACAGTGTTGGAGTTTATCAAATTATACAGTGACTTTTTTAGATGTGCATTAACTGATTGTTCTCTTTAATTGTCCCAAGGTCTTATGACCAGAGACTTTTTCAGTTGCTGACCTTGTTCTGCCTTTCTGCATTTAATCACTCTTAATAGGTGAAACTAAAATTAATAGCTGTGCAGGTGAGTTGTCAGTGTGAAACAAGCCCAGCGTGTGCTGTCAGTACTGAAGCTCAGTGAAAGAGCACTGAAACATGACATGATATAGTATTACCATGTACTTAAGAGTAAGGAGCAAATGGCAACCTAGAGGGAGACTGTGAGAGTACATAAAATAGCTTTATTTGGGCCTGGAAGCAGTCACTGAAGTTACTTACTGAAGGCAAAGACTTTGTCTCCTGTCTGTCCACACCATGCCCAGACCTCCATGTGCTCCTGCTGTTGCAGCAGTGAGCTGCAGCACACACACCCTCCCACTCGAGTCCAAGAGTGAGTAACCCCTCAGGGAGTTCAGAGAAGACATTTTGCAGCAGACTGTGCATCTGAAATAATAATAAATAAGTTCCTGTGCTCTCTTTGACCCAAAGCAAAGATAAGTACCTGATGTGGAGTAGCTGCATCCTGCCCTCAAGCATTAGGCATTTCTGAGCTGCCCAAAGGAATCCACCTAGCAGGTATGTCACTGTGATATCAGCAAGTGCTTGGGTTTGGGTGCCATCTGCTACTCTTCAACTTTAACTTGCAGATGTTCCCAAAACAGGGAATGTGGAAGTTTGTTTTCTGTAGCAGCTGGGAGGTGTGGCAGAGTTTGGGTGTGGAGATGGATGGGTGAGCAGAGATCCTCAAGCCAGCAGATGTCAGGCTGTTACCACCAGCAGGAACTATGACAGGAAAAGGTGGATTGATGCACTGATAAAAGTCAAAATTGGGAAGCTACAGGTCATCTGCAGCTGATGAATAAAAATAGTGAAGAACTGTGAATACATGGTAATTAAGTACAATAGGTCTTCTGGAGTAACTCTGTGGTTTGGTTTGATTTTTTTTTTTTTTAATATTTCATAGTAAAAGCCAGTATGGGTATTCCAGAACAAGATTATACCTATGCAGGGAGTTACTTGCAAAAGCAATTTACTTGTAAAAGCACAGCTTTCCAGAGTGGATGAATTCTAGGGGAAGGGTCAAGGTGGATAGTGAATACAAAGCAGTCTGAGTAAAAACTGGGAAAAAATGACCTTAGGAATTGAATTTCTAATGAGAGAATAAATCTAACACTGTGGGGTTTGGGTTAAGGGCTATGATGAATATAGGCTGGCAATATTTGTAGAGCAGTGGTAAACAATAAAAACCCATTTTCTAACAAGAATATGTTTAAATTTAATTCTTATGCCAGAAAGAGGACAGAAAGAAGAGGTGGGATTTTTGTTGGTTTTAGTTTTGGAGTTCTTTTTTGTTTAGTTTGCTGGGTTTTTCTTAGTAACGATGCTAGTAAGGTTTTCATGAGACTCAGAACATCCTGTGATGACTTTTTACTTGTTCATACAGTTTTATTGCATGAGGTACTTTGTGACCTCTCAGCAGATTTGTCCAACTTCCTAAATATATTTAGAATATCTGTTAAGTAGGATGCTATAAAGTAGGCATGGATTTCTTTTCTTAATGCCTGAAGATAGCATTTTTCCGTCAGTATAAACACCTGTAATTTGACTATTTTTTTTTCCCAAAGCAGGAATAATTTGATGAATTAGGAATATAAATTAATTTAATGACATATTTTTTTAACCTGTTAAGTAACTGTCAGCACTCCCAGTGGGCTCCAGGATCAGTTCTATCTTTCTGACCATGTTGCTGACGCTTGTTCCTACAGATTGATCACTTTGGATTTGATGAAAATGGTACATTCCAGCAGAGGTACCTGGTAGCAGATCAGCACTGGAAGAAGGACAATGGACCAATTCTGTTTTATACAGGCAATGAAGGAGACATCGAGTGGTTCTGCAACAACACGGTAGGTGGCAAACAGTGGGATTGCAGTCCTGCCTGCCAGCCATGGCATCCTGAAAAAGGGAGGGGGAGCAAGAAGACAGTCACACAAGGTCATTGACGGATAAGTTTGTAATGACTACAAACTTAGTAGTCATTGTTATAGGAGGAAGAGGAGCTGAACAAAAGCACAGAAAAAGTTTAAGGGGCTTCAGGGTCCTATTTGAAGCCCAAACAAATAAAGGGATACACTTCTCTTAAATTCCTGGGGCAGTGAAGAAAATTTCTAGAGAAAACACTGTAGTTGCCCTGAGCTAACAGTTCATAATTTTGGACCAAATGAAACTTATCCTAGTACTTTAGAGTTCCCCAAGTAAAATTGAAGGTTTTCATGTTTGGATTTTTGTTTCTCTATTAAGAAAAATATGAAGGCAAGTGGAAGTCAGAGCCAGATAATTCTTGTTCTCTACAGTACCTGTGGAAGTTTTTACTGTCCTGACTGATACAAATGCAGAATGGAGTGTGTGGGTATTTTTCAGTCATTTCAATACCAAGTCCAGTAACATCATAGGAGGTGGCATGTGCTGAGCTCAAAGCCGCCAAGGACTGCTTGCAGGCTTTGTGCTGCCAGCTGATGATCTCTGTCTGCTTCTTCTCATAGCTGGTGGTAACAAACTCTTATCAACAAGTAACGACAAGTTGTACTTTTTTATTAGTTGAAATTAACTGTATTGCAGTGCTCCAGATTACTGTTATTGCCAAACAAATTTTGTGTTTTCTGTAATGTAGTCCTAGGTCAAATGCATGGTTTTCTCCTGTAGCCTGTTTTATTTCCTGTGTGTTAAGCTTGTGCCATAAGAGTTCTGTTAAATTTCCTATGTGTAGTCACAAAACAAGGATATTTAATATTTTGCAGCATTGAACTATACATACTGTCTTTGTATATATCAGCTTCCCTGGGTTGATATCTGTTTTGTGTGTTTCCTTACTTCAATGATATCTTAAAACCAAATTGCACTCTGTCTTTCTAGTGGCATTTTGATAGTGATAGCTTTCTAATCAAAGAATTGGAATACACTAGATTGAAACTAGAGACTTTTAAACAAGTTGAATCAATTATTTTCTGTGTCTGTTTTCCTTCAACCAGGGTTTTATGTGGGATGTGGCTGAAGAACTTCATGCCATGTTGGTATTTGCTGAACACAGATATTATGGAGAATCTTTGCCCTTTGGGAATGAATCTTTCAGTGTAAGTGTCATCTTTTGTCTTCCTAATAAGTGTATTTCCTACAAACATAATTCTGCATATTTTAATTATTGCCAGGGCATTGAGTGTTAACTTAAGTGATATATAACTCTTTTGTAGCTATCAATTCTAGGGTAAAAAAATAAAACCAAACTAGAAGGTTCTTTTTAGTGCTTCAAGTGACACCTGCAAAGAATATTGCATTTGTTCTCAGGCACAGATTTAGATTTTGTGATTTTAGCTGTACACCTGATTTTAGCTGTAGCTGCTGTGGGGAATAGAAAAGCTGTTGCTGGAAATCACTTGTGCTGTCCATAACCTGTCTTCTTTCTCTCAGGATTCCAAGCATCTCAATTACCTGACATCAGAACAAGCTCTGGCAGACTTTGCAGTACTTGTTGAGTACTTAAAGACAACCATTGCAGGAGCCAAGCACAGTCCAGTCATAGCTATTGGAGGGTCTTATGGAGGAATGCTTGCAGCCTGGTTTAGGATGAAGTATCCCCATGTGGTGGTTGGGTGAGTGTGCTTCTCCTGCTTAAACACAGCAGGCATTTCTTACTTCTGTGCTATAAATGTTACTGCTCTGGGAGAAGTACCATAATTCAAGCTGGTGTGAATTTTTCAGTACTGGGAGAAGGATTCAGGTTACTTTGAATTTGGGAAGAGGTGCTGTTTGCCTGACAAAGGCAACTGTTGATCAGCAGGTACTGGATGGTATATTTTGTCATATTTGTGAAAACAACATATGAACGCTGACTTGGTACCTAACTTTTTAGGGTTTCCAGACTTTAGGCAGGCCTTTAATCTCTTCAATACCCTAGTTACCCTCTTGGAAACAACCTGGAGTGTATATTTTCATGGACTAGGCCTCTCTTTATTTGAGTTCACACAGTGCCTAGTGAGAAAGACCTAATTGATAGGTGAGAATAAAAAGCAATGAAGTAATCAAGTCTGAATTCCTACCTTTTGTTTGCTGATATTGTTGTACCAGTGTCCAGGACTTACATCCTCCAGCAGCCTTTTGCATACAGACCTGTGGAGTAATTTTGCAGCATTATGGTTGGTTCATCTGGAGCCCAGCGTCCAAGCTGAATTATAAATGCTGCCTAGATAGTGGCTGTTGGGAGGGTATGGAAGTCCTTTTTGCAGGGGTTCAGGATCTTTTTATGTCCCTTTGCAGAGCTGTGGCAGCCTCTGCCCCCATCTGGCAGTTTGGTGATCTGGTTCCATGTGGCACATTTTTCAGCATAGTGACCAATGATTTCAAAAAGAGTGGCAAGGGCTGCTCAGAGAGCATCCGGAACTCCTGGAATGCTATAAACCACCTTTCCTCAACAGGTAAGACCTCACCAGTGCTTTTTCAAAGAATAGTAAAGATCAGGAGTGTGTTATGACTTTCACCTTTGTATGTTTTGGGTTTTTGACTAAAATTTGATCTGCTGTGCTTGTATGTGTGTCGAATAGTTTCATTAAATTTGTTAGGCTAAGTGAAAATGTTTTTTTAGTAGCAGCACAACTGATGTATGTGTTAATAGTACAATACACTAAATATTGTTTTATTCATTTATTTTTATTAAAGATGCAGGTTTGCAGTGGCTTTCCAATGCATTTCATTTGTGCAGCCCCTTAAAAACTCCTCAGGATGCTGCTGTATTGAAAAATTGGCTGAGTGAGACATGGGTAAACTTGGCTATGGTGGATTATCCCTATAAAGCTGACTTCTTGCAGCCTCTGCCAGCTTGGCCTATACAGGTAATTTAGAATCAATATCTTGTAAAATTGACTATTTGGTTCAATTAATTCTCTCCTCCCCTCCTAGCTTGCACCTTTTCTTTTGTTTTCTTGGCTCCATAGAAGCAATGTGCTGAGAAAAGATAACCAAGATAATATCCTGTGCATATCTTGGTTTGTTGCCTAACTGCCCCTTGTAGGTATAACAAGTTATTGCAACAGCCCAGGAGAAAAAAAAGTGTCAGGGATGACTGAGAAACCTCAGCTGTCCTGCAGAGCTGTTCTTGAGTAGCAGAAATGCTGCACAAAAAGCACATGCTATTAGAGTTTCTTATGTCAGAATCAGCTGACAGAGCTTACAACAAACAAGTTTTGAGCCTATGTCCTTTTTGATGTGGGAAAATCAGTGAGAGAAAATGTGGATCTCCACAAATACACTCCTTGGAGGGTCCCTTCTCAAAGCAGAACCTCTTTTTACACTTGCAAGCCTTAGTTTGTGCAGTTCTCTTTATCCTTGGAGTGTTCTTATTATTTTAAAACTCTGCCTGAATTTCCCTGCAGGACTCTGGGTTACTATGTGAGGTAGGTAAGATACAAGTGTTTTAGGCAGTAGTTAATTATAAAATAAAATCTTTCCCTTGTGTAGAGCTGCCTGACGGAGGAGGGAGGGAAATGAATCTGTCCTATGTGGCTGTCTCAAAGAGCAGAATAAACACCTTGCAAATTATTTCTGCTTATAAACCTAACCCAGAAAAGGCCACTACCCATTGGACAATACTAATGTATGAAATCTGATTTATATAAGTTGTTAAGATACTTTATTTTCTGAAACAGTAGCTCTATTAGGACTCTGAGGGCAAGAAAGGGGGAGGGAAATGTGGACTTGATGATCTTGGAGGTCTTTTCCAATGTTTGAATAGCTGGAGATATATATATATGTTGTTTAATCTGTTCTGTCTCTGTGATCTACCTGCATCAAACTGCAGGGAGAACCCCAGTTGATATCTGGAGCTTCTCTGTTAGGTATCTGTATGTGCAGTCTTTAATTACAGAGGTACTAAATACTATTTATTAAATATAATCAATTTTAAAGTATGGAAAATGGATTGAAAAATGTGGTGAATGAAACATTAAGGTGGAACTGTTGGGTTTTGAAAAAAAAATTTTAGTCAGGAAATACAAAGTTTCAGGTTCCTCATAGTAGCATGCACGACACATATATGATACTGCATTTTGTGATAATCAGGGTGTATAACTTCATAGACACTTTCTGGAAGTGGTCTGATTGTGGAGAATAAATGAATATCCTACCAGGTGTCATGTATTAATATTGAATTACTATAGATTGAGATGACTTCTTATCTCTTCATTGCAGGAAGTCTGCAAGTTCTTGAAGGATCCCAGTCTCTCTGACAAATTGTTGCTGCAGAATGTTTTCCAGGCAGTAAATTTATATTACAATTATACAGGAGAGGCCTCATGCTTAGATGTGTCACAGACTGCAACGAAGAGTCTGGGTGAAATGGGTTGGTACTACCAGGTATGCTCACTAATCCTTATAAATTGCAAGTCAATGCTGGTTTTTTAATCTAGAGCTGATGAGAATTGCCATTTAGCTGTCAATATATTGTGCCAGAAGTATTGATGTGTACTGATAACAAACCTAGTCACAAACCAAGTGTGATTGTAGTGGGGAAGGCAAGGCAGAAAAGAGAAGCAGCTTTCCCAGGAGGTTTAGATTGTATCTTCATTATCTAGCCACTTGCCGAGTTTCAGCGCTTCACTGACTGGAAAATGATGTACAGCAGACAGTTGTAAGTTGTGTAGGGCAGTCAGTTGTACAAGGTCTAACAAGGCCAAGTGGTGGGTCCTGCACTTGGGTCACAACAACCCCAGGCAGGGCTAGGGGCTGAGGGCAAAGTGAATGGAAAGCTGCCCAGGGTGAAAGGCCCGGGGGCACTGGTGACAGCAGCTGAACCTGAGCCAGCAGTACCTAGGTGGCCCAGAAGGCCAATGGCACCCTGGCCTGGATCAGCACTGGTGTGGCAGCAGGAGCAGGGCAGGGATTGTCCCCTGTACAGGGCACTGGTGAGGCCTCACCTCCAATCCTGTGTCCAGTTCTGGGCCCTCACTGCAAGAAGGACATTGAGGGGCTGGAGCGTGTCCAGAGAAGGGAAATGGAGCTGGGGAGGGGTCTGGAGCACAAGTCTGGTGAGGAACAGCTGAGGGAACTGCGGGTGCTTAGCCTGGAGAAAAGGAGGATGCTGAAGAAAGACCCTAATGTTCTCTACATCTTTGTGAAAGGAGATTGTAGGGAGGTGGGTTTCTGTCTCTTAAGTAACAAGCAATAGAAAGAGAAGAAATGGACTCAACCTGTACCAGGGGAGATGTAGACTGAATATTAGGAAAAATGTCAAGCACTGAAACAGGCTACATAGGGAAATGGTGGAGTCACCATCCTGGAGTTTTTTAAAAGATACTATGCACTTAGGTACATGGTTTAGAGGTGGACTTGGCACGTTTTGGTTTATGGTTGAACTCAGTCTTACAAGGTCTCTTCCAACCTAAATGATTCTGTAGTAGTTAGGTTGTAATTACTGATCAAATGCTGTTTGAGCCTGCCTTTTAAAATACTGTAGTAACAGCTATTGGATGATCTCCTGAGAATATACTCTATTGAGCTGCCCTTTCTTTCAGACTTGCACTGAGATGGTGATGCCCTTGTGCACAGATGGTGTCCATGACATGTTTGAGCCTCAGAAGTGGGACTTTGATGCACTTTCAGAAGAGTGTTACAGGATGTGGGGAGTGATGCCTCGCCTCTCTTGGATTCTTTCTATGTATGGAGGAAAAAACATCAGTTCACACAGCAACATCATCTTCAGGTAGGCCTTGTTTCAACTGATGGTGCAGTGTCTTCCACCAATTTGTGTTTCCAGTGTAGAGAATCTGCTCCAAATAGCAAAGGCATGGTAGCAAAGGGATCTGTCTCCAGCACTGCAGCTGAATAAATGATGGGCATGCTTTGTGTTGCTGTTGAGAGTAAAATGGTCTGTCTGCAGTGGCCAAAGAAGCCAACTGTTCTGTTACTGCCTGTGTGACTCTAAAAGTAGTATCTGAGCTGGGATTCTGCCAAACATCTTCTTTCCATGTGGATTCCTTCTTACCTTGTGGCCAAATTCCAGGTTTCCCATGCTGGTGAATTCCTACTTTTATGAACCCAAAGCTCTGTTGCTTTACACACAAAAGGAAAGTCTAAATGAGTTCTAACTATAACACAGAACCTTGGTCACCAAAATTACTGCTCTGAGTGATAGCCTTGTGAAGGGGCTGGCATTGCATTCCTTTTTCCCTTTCATACAGAAAGGAGAGGGAAGTAACTTTGGGAGTTTTTCTATTACTGCCACCAGCTTTTTCTTTTAGTGGCATTTAGTCAAGTTTCAACAAACTTGTGTAAGATCCAGATACAGAGATGTTTCTATTTTTGTAAGGAATACTGGTAATACAACAAAAGCTTGTCTGAAACATTTATATGTGGACAAAAAGTGAAAGAAATGTTTCAGTCTAGCACAAAAAACTGGTCCATGCTGCTTGCTGTCTATTCAGCCTTCACTTCCTTGACTTTTAAGATTAAACTCTGCTGTCTTTAAAGGGAGGTTCATGTGGTTGTACTTATGCTGTGAGGTGATTCAGGTGAGTATTGTCTATCCATCTTATGTGGGTGGGAGGTGTTCCACAAACCCATTTGAGACCTCAGTAGTCCTGAATTGCTGTACCCATTGCCCACTGTGGGAAGCTCCTGGATATGTAGTCCTCTGTGTTCTGGAATTTTGCAAGGCCTTTTCATAAAACACCTTGCCACTTCTACAAACCAAGCTCAGATTTAGTCTTTTGGATGTGGTAGATAAGTATGCATTTTAAAAGTGGAAAGTTCTCACTTGAATTGGGATTATTTTCTGGATCACTGCTGTTAGTGTCGGTCTGTTTGGCTGCAAAGGCCTTTTGCTTTCCTCTTGTTTGCCTCTTGCTGTTTCTGTCCCAGCAGGATATCTACTCTGGAGGGAGAAATCCCACCCTTTTTTGAAAAACTTTTTAATAAAAAAAATTTGTTGGTTTCACTTAGTTTCTGCAGAGTGTTGCTTATTTCCAAGGCTGCACAGCTCTGTACAGTAGAAATCTGCTTTGTAAGCGATAGACAAACAAACAAATCTAAATAAGTGTTTAAGAATTTATGCCAGCTGAAGGAGCTGGAAATGAGAAAAGCCTGAAAGCAACCAAATGAATGTTAAAGTAGTGCTGTACACACAATGCTTTTGGATCTCAAGCTGGGATGTTTCTCTTCAAACAAATACATTGTCAACACTGTACATTTTATATAAGAGCCTTTTATCCTCAAACACTGCTGAGTGCTTTACAAAAAACATCCCAGTGTTTACCAGGGGATGTGGCTCCCTGTGGGCTGAAAAGAACTGTGTTTCAAGTGACAGGCAACTTGCACAACAGTGTAGAGCAGGAAGGGAAAAGTACTCCATCTAAAGAGAACCACTGTAGGGTGGATTTATCCAGACACAGTGGGATTTGGCCAGGATGCTCAAACTGGTGCTGCTGCCTCTCCCTCTGTGAGCAGTACATCACTCTGCACAGTCACACTGTTGTTTGCACTGTGTGGGATTAGTGCAGGGAATTCCATTGCCATTCTGGTACCTTCCTGGAGTAATGTAGTGTGCAAGTGGTTACTTAGGCTGTGGGCAGGTGGTACTTGCCTGTTCTAGGCAGTACGCCTTTATTAACGCTAGCCTGAGGAAATGGGGGGTTTCAGAACACTGTTTCCCCTTTCTCTTCCAGCAATTTCCTCTCTTCTTATGGGAGCATGCTGTGTACTTCTTGTGGAAGTGTTGCACAGTGGTGGGAAGTGACATTTTAACACTGTTCATACCTGTGGTGGCAGAGAGCTTGTAGCAGTTGTGGTGTCTCATCATCAGTGTACTGTGGTAGTCAGAATCAGCCCAGGTTATATCAGACAGTATGAAATTCGGTCTGCACAGTCTAAAAATGAGGGTTTTCAATCTCAGTGAATCACACCTAAGTTGTAGGCTTCTGAGTCAGGGCACCCACATATCCAGTCCTGCACTGGCACGGGAGAGGCAGAAGGAGAAGGCTCTGTGTTGAGAGATTCTGGTTCTCTGTGCAGAAGGAAGAATTGTTAGCACTAAAGAAGGGAATGGAGGCAGAGAAGAGAAGACAGGACAATGTGTTGCTGAAGAGAAAAGGTTAGAGAAAAAAGTTAACAGGAAACATGACAGTTGTGGAGGGTGGTCCTGTTAAAAAAGGATGCACAGACAGTGCTGCTACAATTGTGTAAAACTTCTGGGCAGGACAGGAGGGCTGAGGAGACTGAAGAGAAAATAGGAAAGGGAACTGTGTGCTGTGGGATAGGCAGAATCCTATGGATGCTGTCAAGGAAGTATATGAATTGAAAGCAGGACTAGCAGGCTGATTTTTGCACTAGTTTTTTCTGAAGTCCTGCTTGCCTGGCCACTGCTAGAAAGAAATGTCTGACTTATTCTTTCTCTTCTTTGGTTTATACTTGGAAATTCCTGCCCTGTGAGATGGGCAACTGAGTACTTAAATGCTTGCTTAGTTTTAACACATAAATAATTTATTCCAGTAGGAATGATCTTAATCTCCAAAAACTGTAGAGATTTTTGATTTTGTGGTGAGCCCTCCATCCCCCCTCCCTTCAAGTTTCACTTCCCAAACTGCGTCAGTGCCTCTGGTGCCATCCTTTGGAAGGAGCTGCAGAGGATGCAGCCAGAAGCTCACAGAAAAGCCTGTGGCATGCTTAGCTTCCACATGACTGGGACCAAAAGATCCAAGTTCATGTTCATCATGGGTCTCTCAGCAACTCATTCCCCTGTTGCCAAGGTGCTCTGCTGATTCAGGTGACCTTTTAAATCCAATGCTTTTGGCTTATTGGGCAGCTCTCAATGCTTTTTGTTTTGCAGATACAAAATGTTTCTCTTGTCCTAAGTCATATTTAGAATCACTGAAAGTAAAGAACTACAGAGACTCAAGAAACTTGGTTGTTTTGGTTTTTTTGCAGTGGTGAAACAAGTAAAATATTAGTTTAGACTCCAGGTTTTTACTTCTAGTTTTTTCTAAAAAAGCTTTAAAAAATTATTTTACTGTTTTTTTCTGGTGTTACCATTGTGGTATTTTTCTAGCTTCATATCTCTGTGTCAAGGATGTTTTAATGTCTTAGCTTCTTCTAGAAATTTGCCCTCTCATACCTCAGCCCATCTCTGACATTTCCTTTTGTGGGCAGGCCCAGTGTTTAAAGTGAGAAACAGATCTAGGTTTGTGTAGTTCCACAAGTATATGGATGTTGCTTTCTTTGTGCAGAAAGACGGGCCATGTGTGGGAAGGTCATTGCAGTAAAGGAAAATGAGATGTAGTTGGGGTTATTGGGTCAAGTCCAAAGCTAGGAATGAGAGATGGAAAGCTCTCTCCCAGCTGAGCCATTGGCCTGCTCCATCGACTATTCTTTGGAGCCGTATCTATAGTGTAAGGAATTGTTAAAATTGATCTAGGATGAGGGAGGAGGGGAAGTAAATGCTATTAAGTTGTCCTTTTACGGAGGAAGAGTCAGTTTGGACAGTTTTTTAAGGGATAAAATCTTCATTTTCATAGGGTTGTTAATAAAGTCAGCACACTAACAAACCATGCAAACATTTCTTTGCAAAACCAGGTTGGCACTCAGCTGAAACAGCAAAAGGTAGAACTTCCTAAAATTCAGCTCTAAACGGTCCAGTGAGTAATTTGTTTATGGCAGATTGTGAAGAAGGAAAGTGAAGTGCTTTGGTTTGGGCATGTTTTGGTAGAGGGAAACCTGAGACTTTAATGACAATTACAGGTGGCAGCATATTTCTCTTCAGAGGTTTTATAGGTTATTATCTGAATAAGCAGATAATTAATAAGAAGTGTCGCCTTGCTTAAGCTGCTGATAGGTCCATACCGCTGTCAAAAAGTTGTTTCTTAGCAGAGGAGTGGGCACAAGACATTAAGACAGGGCTGAAGTCTGTCGCTGCATGTGCAAAACTAGTAGAAATGGTGATGTGAGCTGCAGCCTTGCTGCTGACTGCTGTCCCCTAATGAAATAGTCTTTCCTTACAGCAATGGTGGCCTGGATCCGTGGTCTGCAGGTGGGGTGACCCAGAACATCACCGATTCCCTCGTGGCAGTTGTGATCCCAGATGGAGCCCATCACCTGGACCTGCGCAGCCGCCACCCTTTGGACCCCAAGTCTGTGCAGCAAGCTCGAGCCATGGAGATCTGCCTCATGAAGGAGTGGATTGAAAAGGCCAGGCACAGCCTCTGAAGTGCTACTGCAACATCTGTGGCCATTGCCCCTCTCTTGGCTTTGCTGGGAGTAGGGCCAGGCCTTGTGATACGGACATTGGAGCATTTCCCTCCTCGCCTGCAGCACAGTGGCCACCATGGCTCATGTCCATGGGAGAGGCAGGCAGCAGATGGATGGAGAGATGCTCAGATGATAAACTCCAGTCAAAGTGCATGGATTGAGCTGCCTGCTCTGGTTTGCTTTCCTCTTCTGCTCTTCTCAAATGCTGTGCTTTACTGCACAGTAGTGGGTTCCTGTTCTAGGCTTGTTGCTCTTCTCCTCGCTGCACTGAGTGATTGTTCCAACTGCTGGTGTATCCAGCAGTGGATTACATGGGAGTGCTGTTGGTGGTGAAACTCTTGCTGCCTCCAGTGTGACTGAATTTCAGACATCCTCTGCTGGTGGAGATAATGAGGGAACAGAAATCACATCTGACTGTGATGTTTGGTGGAGATGTAGGGAAGGCCTGGGGAAAGTGGCTGTGCTGTTTGTAAGGAAACTAAACCCTTACCCAGCCCTTACCCTTTGGAATCAGTGTTGGAAAAGAAATAAATATACAACTTTTTTTCCTACCTAGTTTTCCAGCAGCTTATTAACCAGTGGATTTTTTTATTCTGTGCTGTACTGAATGGTCAGGGCTGGGCCCAGACTCACTCTGCTGATAACTGGCTGAGCATGCAGAATCTGCATCAAGATTTTACTACTTCTTTTGCTATGAGTCCTAATTCTGAGATATGTCACTGTCTGTGCTGATGGTTACCAAAGAAAAATGAGTATGTATGTGTGTGTATCCCTCACAAATACTTCGCTTTTTAAAATCAGGAAGCTTTTGAAGCTATTCTCTTGAAGAGCAAATGGGACACTTGTGCTGGCTACATCTTATGAAGTGACAAATAATTGGGGCAGTGCCTTGTGTGGGTTCTTCCCTCCCCTCCATTCTGTGTATTGTTCAAATTCTGCATGATCTGTTTGCTGATGGCTCTTCAATAAAAGCCTTTTAAAAAAATTGTTTGCTGGACAAACTATTGAAAACACAGAATGCAGCTATTCCCTTGGATCAGCCCAAAGCCTGATGCTGAGCTCACCAAGCCAGGTGCACTGGGCTTTCTGTAAGGCTTCCAAACCAGACAAACTGCCCTGATTCATGAGACAGCATATTTGACATTAATAAATGGCTGGGGCAGTCCCCTTGTTTTCCAGCTTTGGCTTCATTCACACTGCAGCCCTTCTTCAGAAAGGATTCTTTGCAGTTTAAAGTACAACTCCGTTTTAGAATGACTCAGGCAAATCTTCATGTCCCCAGACTTTTAAAATTCCATCTCTGTTGAAAAGTTTTCTCAGCTTTGGTGGTATGCCTGACAGTTGAGTATATTCCCAAGATCCCATGTGGCCTTTTCTGTTTCCAGTCTCCTCCTGTCCTCTGGGAACAAAGAGAACCTAACACTGAATTTTTATCTTTTCAAACACTTCTTAGATAGCAGATTATCCAAGATAATAGATTATCTTTCTCCTCATCTAGTGTTAAACATGGCATTTATGTTCAGACTCTGTAGTCTAAACATTCCTGTGCTTTTGAGCAAGGTAATTTAGAGACTCCAGAGAACAAGGCCAGGGCTAAAGGAGGAGCTGTGGAGGATTTGCCTGAAACCTGTTGACTGAAAGCTGTTGGTGTTCCCCTTTTCCAATAGTTCCAATTTTTGCTGTAAATATACTCTAGACTCTCACTCGTGGACATTAGAATAACATATCCTTGAGTCTTTTGAAACAAAATGTATTGGTTTTTATCAATTATGTTACAGCAAAGTTTTTAGAAATACTGTTGTATCTTCTTACACATTAATTGATGTGTGGTAATGCCCTGGTTCACTGTAAAACTTAGTATGAATTTGGGGATCAGAAATTATTTACTTGAGCAAACAAGATCCCTGGTCTAATCAGTCCCTGCTAATTAGGGAGGCTCTAATTAATTAGACTCCCACTAATCCACTGATTGCTCAGGGTGCTACTCCAAGTGAAAATTTTGGGATAAGCATTTCCATGTTGTATGGATAAAGATGTGAACAGCCCAAATTAACAGCTATTGTATATTGTTAGTCAGCTTGTGTCTCCTCTCTCTCCCCTGCTAGTGAACTTACTGTGTCAGGAAACAGCTGCTGCTTTGTTGTATGGAAAACACTTTTTAGTGTCAAGCAGCATAAGTAATTTAAAATTTCATTGCTTTTCATTTGCTTTTCACTCCTTTCATAAGCAAAATGTTACCTTCAACAACATTTAGGACAACATGGAATTTTTCAGTTTTAAGTTTTGTGAAATGACACTTAGAAAATTTTTTTTCAGAGGGGTTTTGTGTTTTTTGTTTGTTTGGGAGAGGATGTTAATAGTCTTTCATGTTCCATATGGTTTCTGTCTCTGAGACTGATTCAAGTGCACTTTGGATCAGGTTCTTATTGGTTGGACCAGTTTATGAATTATGTGACTTGTTTTTATGGTATTTTTAATTGATTTGACTTTTTTCCCATCAAGCTGAGTAGTTCTTATTTATCTCAAACATCTCAAAGAGGTCTTATTTATCTCAAACCTTCAGACCTCATCTTAAAACCCATGTACACATCTCTGAATGCTACCAAGGAACTGACTTGTGGTTTGGCTACCTTATCTAAATGTTAGCTCTCCTGAGAGTTTCATACAGGTGAGAACAAGTTGGGCCATAACAAATGGTTGATGCATCTTTCCAGGCATATGATGATGGGCCATACTTCATCTCAGGCTTATGTAAGTTCTTGGCTTGTGTCAGAAATTACTGGGATTTAAGACTTAAAATTTTATATTTCCTACTCACTGGGAAAAATGCAGATGGAAAAAGAGTTAATGTTTTCCCCAAAGCATGAATCTTAGTGGTGAGCCTGCAGTTTGTATCACTAAAAATGCATTAAGATAATGATGAGTTTCTGAAACTGGATTTTGTTTACAGGGACATAAATTTTGCATCCTTTGGCAGATTCCAGGTTCTGGAAGTGACATTGTCTGGTTTGTACTTGTCTGTTGAGGAGTAGGGGGAGAGCTGGTCACAGGAATCCTGGAGTCACACACATGGCAGTCAGGATGACAGATGGTGAGTCTGCACTCCTTTGGGAGTTTCTCACTTCAGAGCTTTGGCTGTGCTGGGAAGCAGGTGTATGAGCTGGCTGTTCTCTGTAGGTGACCACACTGGATGCAGTCAAGCTACCTATAATGGGAAAAGTCCATTTTCCTTTTGAAAGCTTTCCCAGGCAAAAACACACTTCCCACATGTCCATACTGAGGAAGGTTGTGAGAACAGATCTGTAACCTCCCCTGACCTTGCAAGGGAATATTTTAACCAAATAGTTAACAGGGCAGAGCTAAGGCTGCAGACTCTTGGGAAGGAGCTAAATAAGTTCTGCAACTCATTTTTTTTGTACAATAATTTTAATTTTGAAGATGATCAAATATTTCATCATCCAAAGAGTGTATAGAAAGGAAACTCCCTCCTGGAGCATGGATTCTAAATCACAGGAAAAGTGAGAGGTTTTGTCGCCCATGTTGTCTGCCCACCAAGGATGTTGCAAAAAAAAGTCATTATGCTTTAAATAAAGGGATTTCTTTTTCTACCTCTGCTCTTAAACGGGGTATTTAGCTCTTGTGAATTGAATCTCTAAGGAATAATGAGTGACCTAAAGAGCTTTATGTAGGTTAAAGACAGCACAGAGACTCTTGGATATTTCAGCTCCTTGCAGGACTAATGGTGGAATCATTGTGCCTTTCTGGCAGTCAGGAGGACACTGAGAAGCCACTAAACACGGGATGAAAGAATTCATGGGATTGTATACTCCAAGCCTCCATTTTTAGCTCTCCCTGTTGATTCAGAGCATCATTGTTATGCTGTAACTGGCATCTGACTGGATGTTTATACTGTAGTCTCTAGGTTTTGGGTTTTTTTAAAAATAATCTAACCTCTCTGTGTGTTTTCAAACCAAAGCCTTGGTCTTATGAAGATGACTATAAATCTGTCTTTTTTTAAGACCGTCCCTGTCAAAAATCCTAAAATGGTTTGTTTTGGCAGTGCAGGTTAGCAGAAAATGTGCAGTGAAGCAGTGGCAAAAAATATGAACTGAAGATATCTGCAGTAAATTAACAGTGCTTAAGTGCTTTTTAATTTCCCTTCTGTTGTTTAAAAAATCCAGATTTATCATCTAAAGATGCTGCGCATTGGAACTTCCACTGGTCTGAGCAGACTTGTGCTCCTGTTTTGTTTGCATTCCGTGATTTCCCAGTTGAGCATACTGGGAAATATGGAACATAAGCCATTATGCAGGAATATGAGCCTTTCTTGTTTTACCCTCCAGTCCAAGTTTATTTTACCAGCAAATCTGAAACCATTTCATCCACATGCTTTAAGGCAGTGTCCATCTCTGTACACTTTCCATGCAGTCCCAATGAAGAAATTGCTTTACAGCAGAGTTAGATTGCTGACAGCTGATTGTGCTCCTGGCCCGGACCCTGCTGAGGTGGGACGTGCTCTGTCCTTGCTGCACCTCCCGTGGGGATCCCTGGGGTGTGATGCAGAGACAGCAGTGCCCTCAGCACCCACAGCAGGGAGGAGGGAGGAGGATGTGCTCCTTCAGCACGGAGCGCCTCACAGCAGTGCTCTGCAAGGCAGCAATCGGCTCAGCCTCACTTGCAGCTGGGTTTTGGATTTCTGCCGGATATTCAGCAGAGGAAAATCAGCTGTGGGGCTGCTTTGGGTGTAACCCGTGGGCATCTCCATGTGTAACAATGTCCTCTCCAAAGCCTCTGTGCTGGACCCAAGTGTTTCCTGTGGGTGGGGGCTCCCCAGCTCTCAGGGGCTTTTCCCTCCTCTGGTGATTTGAAAAATCTTTTGGTTCCATCCCCCAGTTTAGAAAGTAGGGGCAGTGAAACACTGGGGCCGGGAATAGCAAATCCCTTCCGTTTGTCTTGTTGTTTTCTAATGTATGCGACCTCTCTGGGTGGTTTAAGCGGTTTAGGTACTTTCTATAAAAGGGATCTTTTAATGACAAAACTAATGTGATTATCTTACCAAGTGTGAGAGGCGTATTCAAGGTTTAAAGAAAATCTGTTAGAATAGCTGAATGTATCTGCTTAATCCTTTCTCTAATGTGGGTGGACAATGCTCTGGGAAGCAATTGGGCTTTCTTTCTTAGAGTAAATGCCTGGTCTCCAGAGGTAGGAACTTGTTTGCAGCTTTTTATACCCTTACGCTTCACCTTCTAGAGAATACAAAGGCACAGGAGAGAGGCAGAGAGCTTTGAGAGGCCAAGTTTTACCTCAAATAGCTGGGGGTGTAACCAATACAGGGCCAATTCCGGCAGGAGGCTGAGCACTCTCTGCTCCCTTTGACTGCCACCTGAATAGAGGGTCCTCCTTTTTTGCCCTCCTGCAAAACCACACTCCCTGCAACATGGAATACAAGAATGCATTCTCCTTTCTGAGCGTGTGCTGAAGTTGTCTGCAGTTCCTTGGATGATAAGACCCTGTCTGGTTTTGTGCTTTGGGTGAGCAGCCCTACTGATGCAGATCCAGGGCTTTAGACCCTAAGGTCCAGTTTTCCATATCAACCCCTTGGAAAGGTTTGACTTCTGACAAGTTTTTGCAGGGTGGTGCCTGAGCCGGGGAGGGAGGACAGCGCCAAAGGGTGATGCTGTGGGATGCAGCTGGACCTTGTCTGGCACCAGCCTGGTGGTGGTCAGCTTCTCTGCTGTTCATAGGCCTGTGCTTGTGATTCTTTGATTTCCCCATGTCCATCTGAAGGCACAGGTTTTAGACGCATTAGAAAATATTGTTGGGAACAGATAGCAAGATAGGTAGAACCCCCCATGTTGCTGAAGCATTTAACAAAGCAAGTAGTGGCTCTGGGACGCTTTAGCAAATGCATTTGGCTTTGCAGCAGAGACAAACACATTGCATTTTCTAATTTGTTTTCTGAGCATCCTCAAAACAGCACGTCAGGAGGTAAAGGATATTGAGCTATTGCCTTTCCCAGTTGTAATGAAACACAATCTCCTCGCACCACCCAGTAGAGCAGCACAGGAAAAGGAGATACCTCAACATCAGTGTGTCTTTCATGAAGACAGACACTCAGCGACACTCCTATATCTCATCTACCTGCCTTGACTGTGGGTTTGGTGCTGGGTTCTCTGCTGTGGAGAGAGAGACAGTGCTCAAGAACTTAGTGCACCACATAAAAACCAGTCCCAGATTGTATCAAACTGAATGTTCTGAAGGAGGGAAAAGCATTCTGCACCGCTGCAGTGAGTCCTTCCTTCCAAAGGAACAGGATTTTGTGCTCACTCTCACTGAATGCCATGAAGTTCTTGTCTCCCTCTTTCAGCGCATGTATGAATGGCTACCCTTCCTTCAGTTCTTCCCTCTGACTTGGTGTCATCTGCAAGGCTAAGACATTCCAAAGAATTTGAAATCTGGGAACAACATAGCTTCTTCATTGTCTTGTAGAAGATATGCTTGGACTTGTTTTGAAAACACTTTTTCTCTAAAACTTTGGCAGCAGTGAAAGGCTGACCAACTTCCTGCTCTCTGCATCCCTACATCAATCCTGTCATGGATTCTCAGCTGAGATCTGACCAGCTGCCAGGACTAGGGAGGAAAAGCTTTGGCTGCTCAGAGCTTTAGAAGTGATGTTCAGTCCTCACAGCCTCCATGCTGCAGTGAAAACAGTGCCCAGTCATTTCTGAGAGGGACTGCGAGACGGGTTTGACAGTTTATCTCTGTCCACGCAACTGGGATGAGGAGGAGGAGCAGCAGTCTGGGCTGCCTGCATACAAGGATAAGGGATTTCTTTTGGAGGGTGGTTCAGAGGGTCAAACAAGTCTGAGAGGGCTGTGTATGGGATCACCAGTGCTTCATCACAGGTGTTATATAACTATCTCATAAGTGGGAAATTGGAACCAGAATAAGATCAGTCAGGTCTAGACTGTTTTTCTTCAGAAGGAATTATAAACATTTTAATGTGCATCTCTGTCCAAATCTTGAGCGGTGCTCCAGGGCTGCTCAGCATTCCCTGGGAAGCTATCCAGTCATCAGGAGAGATGGCAGGCACAGCTTGGTGTGTCACTATTTCCAGGACTGGCTTCCCAGGGCTCTGCTTCCACACCTGCATACCTGCATCAGGCTGATAGGAAGCAACCCCACGTTTTGCAGTGCCTAATGTCTCTTGGTGCTCCTCCAAGCATCTCACAGATCCACCAGCTGTGCTCAACTCCTTGGCTGAGGCAGGCTCTGGTGGTGTGAGCCCCATTCCTTCAGTCTAAGGGGAGGAGAGCGCGCTCCCCTCCACGGGACACGTATCCATGTGTGAGCGCACAGATGAGGCCAGCGCTTGCTAGGCAAACGAGACTAATAAATGTCAGGGCAGCAGGAGGTGAGTGCAATCAACTGTGTGAGCCTGAGTTATAGCGGTAACCTGCTGAATTCCTGGGTCACAAAGTAATTTACAGAAGAGCCCCGATGTCACTCAATAATTGCTGGGCCAGCCCAGGCCCCGGGGGGCGCAGCCTCCTGCCGCGGCTGTTATTAATACCATCAGCCAGCAGCAGGATGTTGGTGTGAAGAAAAGAGCCACAGCACAAGCGTGTGAACCTGAGGAACAAATGGAAAATGGTATTAGATATTGGACCAGACTCTAGAAACTGATCCATCTTGTCCTAGCAAGGCATTCAGTGAAATATGAATGCGTCCCCCGTGGCAGGGGCTGATGGCAGCTTGCAGCAGGAGGGGAGGGAGATCCGTGTGTCCGTGCTGCTCATTTCTGTCGCCCAGCCCCTGCGATAGTCCCCATGGAGACTGAGCAGGAGCAGGGGGGAGGTGGTTTCCAAGCACCCCAGAATAATTTAAATTAATATCCAGTGAACAATGTAAACCTTC